CAACAAGGGCGTGGCTTGGGGTGTGGTCTGATAATGGGTGGTACTTAAGGAACCAGATTGCCTGTGCCTATTGGCTGCTGAGTTGTAAATCTGGTCCTGGGCCCTTCCTAAGTTCCAAGTGGTTACAGGGCACATCCATTCAATGTGGGCTGCTCGATTTTAGATATGGGGGTGCAGGGTTCTCCTAGCAGGTCTTTCCTGACCCTAAGCATAGATACAATGACCTCCACCCATGCTACCGTTGTTAATGGCCTATGTGAGCTCCTCATGGCTGCCTAAGAAGACGACAATAGATGGTGCAATAGTTTATAAAATCCATATCCCCCCATAGGAATACATTGAAAAGGTCCTGGGGCGGCTGACAATGGTAGCTTAACTGCAGAGCCAGGGTCAGGCTGTTACAATTTTACCGGTGTGGGGTGAGATCTCGCCACCAATGTACCAGACAGCAGCAAAAATACAACATTACTGGGCTGTCCCTCACCATTGTGTTAAGCATCATTTTATTTAAATTCCCTTTTAGACATAACATGCAACTAATGTAGCCATAAATTTACCAGCATTCTGGTATCATTAGCATTATGTCCCACCACCAGCATGCTGGTATCATTAGCATAGTGCCCAACCGCCAGTATTCTGGTATCATTAGCATTATGTCCCACCACCAGCATGCTGGTATCATTAGCATTATGTCCCACCACCAGCATGCTGGTATCATTAGCATCATGTCCCACCACCAGCATGCTGGTATCATTAGCATCATGTCCCACCACCAGCATGCTGGTATCATTAGCATTATGTCCCACCACCAGTGTTCTGGTATCATTAGCATTATGTCCCACCACCAGCATGCTGGTATCATTAGTATTATGTCCTACCACCAGCATGCTGGTATCATTAGCATTATGTCCCACCACCAGCATGCTGGTATCATTAGCATTATGTCCTACCACCAGCATGCTGGTATCATTAGCATTATGTCCCACCACCAGCATGCTGGTATCATTAGCATTATGCCCAACCACCAGCATTCTGGTATCATTAGCATTATGTCCCACCACCAGCATTCTGGTATCATTAGCATTATGTCCCACCACCAGCATGCTGGTATTATTAGCATTATGAACCACCACCAGCATGCTGGTATCATTAGCATAGTGCCCAACCGCCAGCATTCTGGTATCATTAGCATTATGTCCTACCACCAGCATGCTGGTATCATTAGCATTATGTCCCACCACCAGCATGCTGGTATCATTAGCATAGTGCCCAACCGCCAGCATTCTGGTATCATTAGCATTATGTCCCACCACCAGCATTCTGGTATCATTAGCATTATGTCCCACCACCAGCATGCTGGTATAATTAGCATAGTGCCCAACCGCCAGCATTCTGGTATCATTAGCATTATGTCCCACCACCAGCATGCTGGTATCATTAGTATTATGTCCTACCACCAGCATGCTGGTATCATTAGCATTATGTCCCACCTCCAGCATGCTGGTATCATTAGCATTATGTCCCACCCCAGCATGCTGGTATCATTAGCATAGTGCCCAACCGCCAGCATTCTGGTATCATTAGCATTATGTCCTACCACCAGTATTCTGGTATCATTAGCATTATGTCCCACCACCAGTATTCTGGTATCATTAGCATTATGAACCACCACCAGCATTCTGGTATCATTAGCATTATGTCCCACCACCAGCATTCTGGTATCATTAGCATTATGTCCTACCACCAGCGTGCTGGTATCATTAGCATTATGTCCCACCGCCAGCATGCTTCCGCACATAGAGCAAGGGTCCTTTTCTGCTGCATGCCGGCAGGTGATATGCTTTGCTATTCAGGCTGTGGCTGCCTTCAAATAGAAAATGATCTCTTAGACTTTGAACTCGTTTTTTAAGTGCTTGGAATGTATTTAGCTGGTTTCAAATTTGGTTCCATTGGGCGGCTTGAAAAATAGGAAAGAGTCTGGCGTGAAATGAGCATAAAGTGCTCTGCAATCACCTGGGAGCGGTCCAATATGTGTCATATTGTATAAGGGAAATTGTTGTGATCAAAGGTGTAACCAAGGCGAAAGGAGTGACCGTTAGCAGTATAGAGATAAGGGAATTCCTGGTGGTGAGCCATACCCATCTTCACTGAGGATCTATGAGACAAAGTCCAATCTGCGGGTTGTCACTGACTAACTGACGTCAAAGAAGAAAAAATGATAATCCCCAGAGGAAGAGCCCAGATACACCTTGTTTTCCATGGACTGAACATTCCATCACAAGTGTACCTCATACCATATTTAAAGTGACCGTATTATCACAATTCATGCAGCACAATAAATACAAGTTAGGGATGCACTGATGCCGGTTTTTCGGTATCGAGTACGAGTACCGATATTTTTTTTTCCGGTACTCGCCGGAAGTCCCATTATGGAAGCCAGGTGGAGTGTAATGACTCACCATCTGGCTTCCTGATTAGCCAGGAAGTCGGGCGGCATGTAAAGACTCGCCACCCGGATACCCAATTAGCACGGAAGCCGTCTCCATGCTCCCTCGTCACCAGGTGGCCAATCAGTAAGCCCGGGGGGGTCGGGTAATGACTCGCCGCCTGGCTTCCTGATTGGCCAGCTTCTCGACCAATTAGGAAGCCGGGCAGCGAGTCATTACACGGCGCCCAGCTTCTTGATTGGTCGGGAAGCCGGCTCCATGCTCCCTTATTACCAAGTATCACCTACCTGGCTGGAGACTGGTTGGATGAGGAGGCTCCCCTTGCACCTCGTGTCCCCCAAACTCTGAGGATGGGAACAGAGGCTGAGAAACAGCAAGTAGCACGGGTGCCAGTGGATGGGGCAACACCGTGCCAGGCAGAAGTCCAGAATCAGGATTGGGTAGAGAAGAGCCGAGGTCACACCAGGCAGGCAGCAGGGTACCAGAGCAAGAGGCAGAATCAAGGTCAGGCAAGCCAGGGGTCACACCAGTCGGGCAGCGAAGTACAAGGGATGAGGCAGAGGCAAGGTCCAGTAACAATTCCAAGGTCAATAGGCAGGCAGCAATCGGGAACAGTCAGGTTCAATCCGGGTCAAGGTGCAGGAGCAGAAAACAGGCAGAGCAAAGACGACCACAGGGAACAGCTGAAAGACCATCCAGCAACTAATAGGAAGATCAATTCAGAGGTACTGCATCACTTTCTGTGTGCCAGATTAGCGCGTCTGTGCTCCAGATTAGCGCGCTTGTGCGCATACGTCCCGATGCACGCAAGTGACCGTTTTCCTATGGTACGAAAAACAGGACTACGCACATGTGCAATAGACCTGGATACCTTACACCAAGTGATGAGGGAGCCGGGAGCTGGCTTTCTGGCCAATCAGGAAGCCGGGGGGCAGGTAATGACTCGCCATCTGGCTTCCTGCTTGGCCAGCTTCCCAACCAATCAGGAAGCTAGGCAGCGAGTCATTACATGCTGCCCGGCTTCCTGATTGGCCGGGAAGCCGGCTCTTTGCTCCCTCGTCACCAAGTGATGAGGGAGCATGGACCAGCTTCCCGCCCCAAACAGGAAGCCAGGCCGCATGTAATAACTCGCTGCACGGCTTCCTAAAACCGGAAGTTCGGGAATCGGTCTAGGCATCAGAGCATGTGGGCGAGTACGAGCCCAAATACTCGGTATCGGCACCGATACTGATACTAGTATCGGTATCGGTGCATCCCTAATACAAGTATCAAGGATAGGATGCGGTACGATATTCACATCCCATAACAATGGATAGGATGCTCTACCATATCTTTGAAAAAGCTGTACTTGCTGTTATTGTTTACACCTAAACATATGACATCTAACAACCAGCGCAATTCACAAACCTAACACGCCAAGATAAGGATCCTTATATCATAGAAAGTGACAGTTTATTTTCAGCTGCGTCCAATAAGATTTGGAAATGACAGTCACATGACTACAATAAAGATTCTTATTATACAGGATTTATATATAACTCCAACAGTTCGCGCAGACAAACGTAGCAAGATATGGTTGTGATCATCATGATAAGAGTGTCACCTCAATGAGAAGTCAGATTATTGAAAGAGTGGATCCTCCTACAAGAGGAAGTGACTGCCGGGCTGCCGAGCTACAACTCGCAGCATACTAAGACGCCACAGCTGAAGCGGATCCCGACAATTATGCCGGGATCCGCCCAGCTGCGTGAGTGACAGCTGGCTCTGCCTATCTAGAGGCAGAGCCAGCTGTACCCGCCCCCTCCCCCGTCCGTTCCGCCAGTCAGCGCTGGAGGATCGGAGCGGGGAGAGGGGAATCCAGCCCCTCCCCTGTCACAGCAGAGAGCCGTGACAGGATCGAGAGGTGAGCAAACGCCGGTATGTGTTCACTCACTTCCCGATCTACTGAGCCGACCTGTGACAGTCTCATTGTCAGAGGTCGGCTGGAACTATGAGGTGAGTGAAAAGCACCCCCCCTCCCCCTCGTAGTTCTCCTTTAATACTGGGATGCCATTCAAGTTCATGTGCGTGTAAAGGTGTCCCAATACTTTTGGCTATATAGTGTATCTATTTACACACAAAACATTTCTCGTCTTTTAAATTTTACAAACAAAAATCTGAATTATTTGTGTGTGTGCATTAAAATTTATTTTAGTGTATTTCTTACTGGAAATATTGAACAAATATGGTGCCACATAAAAAATTTGCATCTACCGTTTCTCTGCTTTCAGAAAATATATCATGCTTTGGGGTTTTGAAGTAAATGTTATTCCGGGGTGGGGGGGGGAATTGATCGCGGGGTTAATCTTCACTCTGGGAGTCCAAATTTCACTTTGTTATATGGCTGTGATTGAGAAAGCAATAAGGAAGTACAGAGGTTCCCAGGTAGCTCTACATACGTTCTTGTTGGCTTTGCCGTCTCTCTGCCTCCTGCGGGGCTGTCGGTGACCATTCCTGAGGGCTAGCTCTCCTCTCTTCAATCCAATTTTTTGGAAAAAGCGAGGGGGGGCCATCATGTGCACGGGCGACTGCGCAAAATTCATCGGGGTTTCGCTATACCCCTTTTGCATTCTATGTATTATCTGTAACATCTTACTCCTGTTCCCCGGATGGACCACGGAGGCTGTGACGAACCCTGGAGAAAAACTCACAGATGAGGTTCTGTACCTGGGTGGGTTTTTCGGTAGCGGACTCCTGGTGAGTAGAGCTGGGTATTTGGTGAATTTAAAGGGACAGTCCACCCAAATGAGATATTTCCGGGCTGGAGCACACTGTGGGGACACCTATACATCTAAGATCTCAACTGTTACAGTACTTATCTGGCGGGGGGGATCTCACTTTCGCTGTTGGATTTATAATTTATGCTGCATTATGAGCTTGAGCTATTCAGGTCTGTAAACAATTTTTCAAAAGAGCAGTTCAGAATAGGCAGGTCATTTTTTACATTTAATTTATTTTTTCTCCGCCTTTTATTTCTGTTGGGAAGTGTCCTGGTTACCTTTTTTCTTCCCGTCTTCCTTTTCCCTTATATTACGGTAAACGCGGAGACACACTTTTTATATAGAGCTGGGCCACTCGGTAGACGCAGTGGTTGGTGCAGGATTGAACAGGCGGCTCATATTGTATACATGTCCCTTTTACTATAGACTGTTGTCTCTCCTCCTCAATCTTCTCTTCATTCTCAATGACCAGCTGCATAGATTTTGTTATGGTTCCTTGTGTTTACCCTAAATAAAGAATAAAAAAAAATTAAAAAAGAAGAAGAATAGACATTTAAACATGTGACAAGTAGCCTAAAGCTCCACCTGCTGGCTGAAAATGTAAACGTGAAATTTTAATATGCGTTATTCTACATTTGCAACATTGAAAAATATCAACTAAAAAATGCAAAATTAATGCTTAAAAAATGTATTTTCTAGTCCTGAACATAATACAAAAAGAAAACATTTATAAGAAACAATGTATTTCCTTTAAATACAAACACCAGGTTGTCACGGCAGCTTGGCGGGTTAGGGGGTCTTTGGGGGGTCTACACAATCTGAGTTGATTACTAAATGGGGGAGCCATCAGCTGGTATAGGTGCTTCCCCCTGTTGGTGTCCGGAATTGTAAGGGGCAGTGCCTAGCCCCTTGGTAACCTGGAAGTAGTAAGTGTCCTTGAGCTGGTTGTGGTGCGGCTGGGGACGTGGGCGGAGTGTTAGTAGAGGCCTTTTTGGGCTGTTGGGCACCCAAAGACCCCTTCTCAGGTCAACAATCGTTTACAGTATTATTTGTGTATATTATTTGGTTTATTACTTTTGGTTATTGTTAAAGTTGTTTGATTTAATAAAAGGGGCTGCTGTGGCCCTTAAAATCCATGTCGCGCAGTCCGTGTGACTGTTTATTGGGGTTTTAACAGAGGGACAAAAATTGACGAATCCATCAGCCATGACTTTTCTTTTACTAGAGGCCTCACTAATCTGACCTCAGACCTAAGTCCTGCCAAATGCCAAAGCCCTTTCCACAGAAAAAGAGGCCAGCATGGGCACATTTTATCCCAACCGCAGGCTAAATTCGTACACATTTGCTCTTGTTTTCACATGAGATTTTAGGATTTGTTATTGTGGTGTATAATAACATATAGTGTCTACATGTTAAAGCACACCCAAACTTAAAAACTGGCTTTAGGTCCACTGGCCCTACTGGACAGTGCCCCCCTGATATGTACCTCTGTCCTAGAGTGGGGTCCACCCAAAGTCTCAGTGGCTGCTGCTTCCCTACCTGCGTTCTCCGTGTTTTCCACAACAGTGGAAGGAGTCTGTGTGATTTGGAGGTTCTAATTGTTCGTCTCTTGATGACTGTGGAAGAATAAGAGAGGTGGCAGTGGGGCTTGAAAGTGGAGGAGGAGAAAAAGGAGATAGTGAAATCAGAGAATGGCGGGGATAGAAAGGAGGCAGTGGCGTCAGATAGTGGAGGGGATTGAGAGTAGGCAGCTGGGTCAGATAATGAAATGAGGAGAGAGGAGGCAGTGGGGAATGATAGTGGAGGAGGATAGAAAGGAGGCAGTAGAGTTACATAGTAAAGAGGGATAGAGAGGAGGCCGTGGAATCAGATAGTATATTGGGAGGAATAAGAGGTATCAGATAGTTGCGGAGGTTGAGAGGAGGCAATGGGGTCAAACAGTGAAGAAGGATAGAGAGGACACAATTGAGTCAGATATTGGGGTGGGGGGGGAGGTAGAAAGCAGTAGAATCAGATAGTTAATAGGGGTAGAGAAGAGACATTGGGGTCAGATAGTTGAGGAGATAGAGAGGAGGCGACGGGGTCAGATAGTGAAGAGGGATAGAGAGGACACAGTGGAGTCACATAGTGGAGGGGGATCGGGAGCAGGCTGTGGGGTAATATAGTGGAGGCAGTAAGAGAAGAGGCAATGGGGTCAGATATTGGAAGAGGGATAGAAAAGAGGTAGCTGGGATATTGGAGGGGGATAGATAGGAGTTAGACAGTGGAGAGAATAGAGAGGTTGTATTAGATGAATTGAGCCCTTTTCTTTTTCTTGTAGGTATTAATTCCGGCCATCTGTATTCAGTGTACGGGCCGTCGTGGAAAATGCAACAACCGATGCGGGGTAAGAGAAAACGCAGATGCAGTTTTGCAGATACCATATGAAGGGGCCCCTTTCATATGACTATTTTTTTTTAATGGGAGATGCAGATGCTACTGGACCCCATGTAATGTAGCATCAGAGTGTTCCATTTCCTTTCATACTGGACCCCATGTAATGTAGCATCAGAGTGTTCCATTTCCTTTATACTGGACCCCATGTAATGTAGCATCAGAGTGTTCCATTTCCTTTCATACTGGACCCCATGTAATGTACCATCAGAGTGTTCCATTTCCTTTATACTGGACCCCATGTAAGGTACCATCAGAGTGTTCCATTTCCTTTATACTGGACCCCATGTAATGTAGCATCAGAGTGTTCCATTTCCTTTCATACTGGACCCCATGTAATGTACCATCAGAGTGTTCCATTTCCTTTATACTGGACCCCATGTAAGGTACCATCAGAGTGTTCCATTTTCTTTTCATACTGGACCCCATGTAATGTAGCATCAGAGTGTTCCATTTTCTTTTCATACTGGACCCCATGTAAGGTACCATCAGAGTGTTCCATTTCCTTTATACTGGTCTCCATGTAAAGTACCATCAGAGTGTTCCATTTCCTTTCATACTGGACTCCATGTAAGGTACCATCAGAGTGTCCCATTTCCTTTCATACTGGACCCCACGTAAGGCACCATCAGAGTGTCCCATTTCCTTTCATATTGGACCCCATGTAAGGTACCATCAGAGTGTCCCATTTCCTTTATACTGGACCCCATGTAAGGTACCATCAGAGTGTCCCATTTCCTTTCATACTGGACTCCATGTAAGGTACCATCAGAGTGTTCTATTTCCTTTATACTGGTCTCCATGTAAAGTACCATCAGAGTGTTCCATTTCCTTTATACTGGACCCCATAGAAGGTACCATCAGAGTGTTCCATTTCCTTTATACTGGACCCCATGTAAGGAAGTACATTGTATAAGAGAACAGTCCTGATATCATACTCCTGTCCTTCTTCTTTAGATGTTGGTCTCTATGCTCCTGGCAGCGGTGGCGGTATGTGGCTCCGTCTATGGCTTTGTGACTTCGCTGTTGGGCCTGGTCAACGGACCTCAGTGCTTCTACAAGTTCATTTCAGGAGCTCAGCGCTGGACCACCCCCTTCAAAGTAGACAAAGAATTCATTGAGTGAGTGCGATCGCAGCATCTTAAAGTATAACTAAAGCTGAAAACAAAAAATGTGTTATATGGGCAGCTTCAGACGATAGAGAGAGGGAGAGAGAGAGGGGGGGCTGGAGGGAGGGGGAGACAGACAGAGAGAGCTGACCAAAAGAGGGAGACTCCCTGAACATCAGGGAGACTTGAGATCCCTGGTGGCCTGTGGGAGGCTGAGGGGGGGAGGGGGTCACAAAGACAGGAAGTCTGAGTGTTGAAATATCATTCAATGAATTTATTGTTGTTGTTCTGACCATAAAAAAAAGAAGAAATATACACAAAACCTTTATACGTTCCCTTTAAGATGATAATGGCTTGGTGAGTGTAATAGGAGATTTGGTAAAAACGTACAGTATGTAGATAACGACTTAAAGACGTGTGTTTAAGTAATAATTCATTTCTAAAGGGTGAAGAGTTTGGAGAAGGCAAGTGAACAACAATCTAAGACAACATAGATATCCACTTCAGCTATGTTGTCCTAGATCAGCGATGGCGAACCTATGGCACACGTGCCACAGCTGCTGGCATGCGAGCCATAAGCTTGCCTCATTGCTGTTGTCGGTTATCGGTCAAAGTGACCGATATGACCGATAATAAACACGGTGCAAATTTGCACAGTGGGTGCCGCTGCCTGGCCAGCATCCCTTGATCAGCTGATCAAAGGAGCCAGTCAGAAGCCATCAGCCATTGAGTTGCCCGCCCTGTTCAGGTATTTTGACAGCGGCCGGCACTACACTGCCAAAAATAAAAACAAAAACAGGCGGATGGATGGGGATCGACCGAATTCAGGCAACTGTAGTGCAGCTGGATGTAAACAGAATATCGGAACCTCGGGCTCAAAAAGGTTTGCCATCACTGTAGATTGTTCCCTTCTCCTGCCTTCTCCAAACTCTTCTCCATTTAGTGAATAGCCCC